GTGGCCATTACCACTTATTGTGCCAGGGAATTCCAGTATTATGTGAAATACATTCTTTTGACTGTTCTAACCCTGCTGACCGCCAGTTTCTTTGCATTCTACAGGGTTAAGAGATGGACTTCTTACTCTCATCTTTCTTTGCATGTTGCATAATTATACGAACTTCCATTATACCCTTCCACTTATGCTTTCCCCACTCAGCTTTAAAAAATTCTGAAAGCTTTAGCGTTTCCTCATAGGGCTGATTCTCTTGATAACCTTTGTTGTGTTTTTCTGCGCCTTCCTCTGCTTTTGGAGGCAGGGCAAGCAGCATTATGCACATGTGCATAGATTGTACAACAGCATTGTGGTACTGCCAGTTCTGTTTTCAAGCCTCTTCTAATGATTCTCATACGGAATTTGCCCTTTTTCACAGCTGCTGCATGCAGAGTTGACATTTTTACTGAGCTACCTTCCATGACCTAAAGATCTTTCCTAGTTGGTTACTTGGTTAATGCTGGCTCTTTTCCAGCTACTAGCCCCAGGGAGGCTGTGCAGATTTGGACAGGGGTCTGGGTTTGGAGTGCATGAAGGCAAACCAGCTCCAGTCTGGGTGGAGCCTTGCAACTCATTTTTTTTGGGGGGGGGTGAATGAGTTCTCCCAGACTAGGAGCTATCAGTGAAGGTGCAAATAATGTTGGTTGCTAAGAGTACACTTTACCAGCTAAGGCTTGTTTCAGACTGCTTTCTATTGAATCGTATTTTATTAGTTGTATTTTAAATTGCTGGTATTTTAGTTTTTGTAACTCGATTACTCTGTGATTTTAATTATCTCTTTGTAAGCTTAAGAAACATAAAGAAAATAAAGAAAAAACATCCCTGTGTTCCACAAGCACTCCATTGTTGTCTAATGGCTCAAATGCCATGCTGACTGGTTTCCTGCTTCTGATGTATTTACAAACATTTTATATTTTTGGTCTTAAACATTTTCAAAATATGTCCATCACATTATTTTATTTTTATTGCTTATTGTCAATTAGCATTTGCCAACGTATTTGCTCCCTTTTGTTTTTCTTATTTGGGCTTCCATTTTCACCTGCGGCACAGCTGCTGCACCTTTCTTCCCAGCCCTTGGGCTGAACAGACATGAGGTTCCAGGTGGAAGGGAATAAGAAACATGCAGACATTGGGCTGTTCAATTGCAAGCAATTTGGGAGGGAGGGAGCTGGATTGAAATCCAGCCAAATTTTCTGAAAGCAGCCTTTTTATAACTTTCTTGCTTCTGGTTGTCAACTATATTTGCATCCTTTGGCAGGCCTTGAGGGGTGGGGAGATCTGCACGGCTTGCCTGTTGGTACATTTCCTTGTTTGTTGCATATATTCTAGCTGAGCATTTGATTGATGGTTTTAAAATTTATTTCCAAGCGTCTTGGAAAAGAGCTAACCTCCACTCTCTCAAAAGCTTCCTTTTCACTAACCCTCTCACTTCTGAGATGTTTTGTCTTTTGAAATAAAGTGTGACTCTGTTGAGCTTTTTTGGCAACTTTTCATGGACATACATTTTGAACTTGTTAGCACTTTGATCCCTGTTCTCAGTTGATTTGAGTACAGTGGTGCCTCGCAAGACGAAATTAATCCGTTCCGCGAGTCTCTTCGTCTAGCGGTTTTTTCGTCTTGCGAAGCAACCCTATTAGCGGATTAGCGCTATTAGCGGTTTAGCGGCTTAGTGGCTATTAAAGGCTTAGCGGCTAAAAGGCTATTAGCAGCTTAGCGGCTATTAAAGGCTTAGCGGCTTAGCGGCTAAAAGGCTATTAGCAGCTTAGCGGCTATTAAAGGCTTAGCGGCTAAAAGGCTATTAAAGGCTTAGCGGCTTAGAAAAAGGGGGGGAGCGAAAAAAATCGCAAGACGTTTCCGTCTTGCGAAGCAAGCCCATAGGGAAAATCGTCTTGCGAAGCGCATCAAAAAAGGGAAAACCCTTTCGTCTAGTGGGTTTTTCGTCTTGCGAGGCATTCGTCTTGCGGGGCACCACTGTACTCTGAAATCTTGTACTAGGCACTGGGCACCACTCAAGACTATGGCCAGGAAGGATTCATGGGCCACTTCCAAGGCATAGTCATGGATTGCATCTGGAAACATTTTTCTGATTACTCAAGTGTGCATCTTCCTCAGTCAGTGTGAAAGAAGTTGAAGACACCGATTATTATAAAACGTTCTCCTTTGGATCCCAACTCCTCACCCCCCATCTGAAGACCACTTTCACTGTTTTGATCAGGAGCGCAATAATATCTCTCTGGCGTAAAATAATTTTTTTGCATCTGGCACTTCCACCCATAGTTCCTATTTGTTCCTATTAGAAGTTTTCTAGTATGTTGCACTCCATGCCTTCTTTGGCATGCCCCCGCTAAGCCCTACACTACACCGTCTTTCCTATAGACATTGTATTCAGGGACGCTACTGTACTGATTCTCTACACTTTTCCAATATGCCTGTTAGATTTATACAGTGGTACCTCGGGTTACAGACACTTCAGGTTACATACGCTTCAGGTTACAGACTCCGCTAACCCATAAATAGTACCTCGGGTTAAGAACTTTGTTTCAGGATGAGAACAGAAATCGTGCTCCGGCGGCACGGCAGCAGCAGGAGGCCCCACTAGCTAAAATGGTGCTTCAGGTTAAGAACAGTTTCAGGTTAAGAACAGACCTCTGGAACGAATTAAGTATTTAACCCGAGGTACCACTGTATTCTCATTCAGCACCAAGTACGCTTAACTTCCCCCCACTTTGCCTTGGAGGCTTCTAATATTACCCAATTAAGCTCCCATTCGTTGTGTCCCTCTCCAGATGTTTTTGATGTCTACATTTTACCCCAAAGCCCCTTGACTTTTTAAAGCAGCTGCCATGCTCTTGGCTTCTATATAAAAATTGAAGGCTTCCTCTTATCAGCTGCCACTGATGGCAGAAAAGACTCAGAGTGCTGGATGTCTAGTTGCTTTGCCCTGTGTCGTTCTTCCCCTCCAAGAAAACAAAAGTTGCAGGCACTGCATACTCTTGACAGAAGCAGCTCTTTCCTGAAGGAGAGGAGTAACTGCTAGCCTCTTTGTCTCTCTCCTTTCCACTTCTGGCTAGGAAAGGTAAGCTGGAAGATAAATATAAATGGGAAAGGCCAGCCAGGGATGATGACACCTTCCTGTTTGCAAGGAGATGTGCTCCTCTCAAGATGGGTATGGCAGTTGGGGCTCTCTTCTTCAGGAAAAGGCAAGCCAGGAGTCACTATTTCAAGCCTGTTTTGCCTCTCCTGCCTGTAGAGCAGGTGTGGGGAACCTTTGATCTTCCAGATGTTACTAAACTAAAACTCCCGTCCCTAGTTCAGCAAGATCTGGAGGGGCTAAAGTTGCCTCACCTGCTGTAGAGGCAGCTAGCGGGAAGGAACTTCCATGATTTTCAAGAAATAAAGAAGGGATTTGGAGAACAGCTTTAGAAAATGATCTCAAGCTGGTGGAGCCGTGTTCTCCTTTTAGACTGCTTTTCCAGGATAGCAGCATAGCATGTTGCCCAGTTATCTATCTAGGAAGGAGTTCATTGAGATTGAAAATAATTGCCGTTATGTCATGAGCAATGTGTATCAAATCAATGGTAAATATTTATTTTGCCTTATTTCTAGGCTGCCCTTCAATACAAGGTTCTCAAGGTGGAGTACCTATTTCTTAAAAAAAAAACACAGATATAAAATTCAGCATTAAAAATTGGCATTAAAAATGAATGTAACAGAAAGCAGTGGTCACAGTTCAGCAGCAAAACTAGATAAAACCATGCTCCAAACAACTTATACTGCATGCTATAATTTTTTTGGGGGGGGGGGATTTAAGCTTTTGCCTGATACCAGAATGATATCAGTGTTGTCACCAGACAGAGAGTAGAATATAAATCTCAATGAGAAAAAAGGAAATCAGAGCTAGTAGGGGCTCCTCACAAACATATGAAGCTTTTTTGTGCAACTGTGAAGATAGAAACTTGAGTCTAATTAGTGTTTGAATAAATAACTGCTTTTTATAGGTGGGTGTAGCATTTTCAACCATGTCTACCAGATGTAAAAACTTGTCAGTTGGGGCCGTCTGGTATTTCATTGACAAATCTCCCCTTTTCCTGCTCACCAGCATAATAATCTTTTTCCTGGTGTTTCACATTACAGTGGTGCCCCGCAAGATGAATGCTTCGCAAGACGAAAAACTCGCTAGACGAAAGGGTTTTCCGTTTTTTGAGTCGTTCCGCAAGACAAATTTCCCTATGGGCTTGCTTCGCAAGACGAAACGTCTTGCGAGTTCTTGTGAGTTTGTTTCCTTTTTCTTAAAGCCGCTAAGCCGTTAATAGCCGCTAAGCCACTAATAGCCGTGCTTCGCAAGACGAAAAAACCGCAAGACGAAGAGACTCGCGGAATGGATTAATTTCGTCTTGCGAGGCACCACTGTATATCACATAGCCTTACAGCAGCTATGTAATATGGACATTTTTATTACCAGGTGAGGGAAGGGGTTCATGACACAAGTGTGAGACAGGAGCTGCCCTGCTCCACAAAACGAAGAGGTTTGTGGCTGATGAGTCTTGACAGAGCTGGCGTAGTATAGTGACTAAGACTTCTGTTAAGACTCACCAGCTATGATACTCTACCTTTTGTGGAGTAGGAAAGTGACATTTGTGTCATGAACCCATTGATTAGTCTCTGCAGTCTGATGATAATGGCCTGCTATACCTTTAACTCCTTAATTCCAGATTAACTCTGCTAGGCCTTTCTCCTTAATCAGTGACAGCCTTCCCCAAACTAGTCAGCCCTTCAGATATTCAGTACCCCACTCCCACCACGCTCGTACATCATTCCCTGTGGTCAGGAATGATGGAGGGCACCAGCTTGTGGGGAGGCTCTTTATGACGTTAAGTTACCTGACTTGCTCTTGAGCTTTCATATGGCAAGGAAAGCTTTTTATATATCTGCATGGTAAAACGATTTTTCTCTTCTCCTCCTAGGTTCCTTGCACTGACTCCTTGGAGACTGTATCATCTAATTTCACACGTACTCCTTGGCGTTGTAATGCTGCAGATCATGCAGGATTTGGTCTTGTCTAGAGAAAGAGGTAAGACACTGCTTCAGTATCTGTTTAACATGCAAATGTTTATCAGCAATGTTTGGAAACCTGTCAATATCCCTTTATCCTTCTAACTGCAGTACTAAAATTTTATGGTAAGCTTCTGTGCGGATTATGTTAAGTAGAAAGGTAGGTTAATATTATTAGCTTGCTAAAGAAAGACTTTCTTTGCATACATTTATTCTTTGACATATTCAAATGCACCAGTCTCCTATAATATGTAGACCAAGACCACATTCTAGAGTTCTAGTATAGGTTTGTTTAAGGGCTCATGTTTGCACAGTGGGATATGATATTTTTCAGTAGAACATCAGGCCCCAATTTTGCATTTTTATAGTTTCTTTAATGCAAGACAATGTGTGCACATACTGTAAACATTGGCCCATATGCGGAAAAATATCTTATTCAGCCTTATCTTGTTTTCAGGTGCACAATTGTGGAGAAGCCTCACTGACCGGTAAGTGTTAGTGTTATATTGCTGGTGACTACTCAATATTAGAACTTTAAAATGGTATTGGGACATTAAACACTTTAGCTCTAGAATAGATCTTACTTGTTGTCTAGATTAGCCTTTATTTATAGGACATTCTCCTACCCATATTTCTGTATTGACAAGGTCCTTCTAGATACCCTCTAGGGATAACTAGAGCTTTGTAGCCTCTAGTCCTGTTAGTCTACTTGAAATATTTTAAGTATCCTGATCCCAAGCTTTATACGGGCTTGTACACCAGAGCCAATACCTACAATATTGCATTATGGGTGTGTGGCAGTTTGGTGCACAAAAAGGATAAAGTGAGATTGCAATGTGGCTCATGCCTTAACCCAGCAGTGAAAGTATTGTGAATGAGCTATAGAACCATGTGCTCCATTTCCCCTGCCACCATTAATTGCAGTTCAGCATTATGCCTGTACTTACGTTTTCATGATTAGTGTTAACCAGTGTTCACTCCTAACTCAAAATTGAAAACCAGGTTTTCAGATTTCAATACACCATAGTGGTGTGTTGCATTTGATCATAGTAGACTCATGTGACCTTCTTGTTGACTTCAGATAAAATTTTACCTTTTTTTCTTTTGTAGCTTCATGACTTAATATTTTAAGTGCATTTTATTTTCTGGTACAGTTTATGTTAGTGCCAAGAATGTTAGATAGGTATCAAGGAGCAGGGTAGGGAATGAAGAAAGAGAAGGTGAGGGTTTATTTGTATCTGAACACATCTGTATTGTCTGTTCCAAAGTTGTACCATGTCTTTTTGTGGTACAGTGGTACCTCGGGTTACGTACGCTTCAGGTTACATACGCTTCAGGTTACAGACTCTGCTAACCCAGAAATAGTACCTCGGGTTGAGAACTTTGCTTCAGGCTGAGAACAGAAATCGTGCGGCGGCGGCGCAGCAACCGTGCAAGGCCCCATTAGCTAAAGTGGTGCTTCAGGTTAAGAACAGTTTCAGGTTAAGAGCGGACCTCCGGAACGAATTAAGTACGTAACCAGAGGTACCACTGTACTTTTCATATTCCTGACACTCCTCAGTTGTGCTGTCCTTTATTCTGTTATACAATATGTGAATGTTTCATCTGCTTACCACACTTTATGTGGGCTGCATTTTACCAATGGAGTGACCTGCAGGTATAAAAGAAACTTCTAGTCACAGATCAGCAATGATTTTGTGTGTGTGTGTGTGTGTGTGTGTGTGTGTGTCTACATGCACTTTCTCAGCCCCTTTCTGCCCTCTCCCATCTCTGCCTTCCATAGTTGTCAATACAGGGCACAACTGCAAGTGTTTTAGATAACTATATCCTTCGGAGAACATCTAACATTCATATCTTCTCACTAATTGGGCACATAGCTATGATTAGCATCATTGACAGAAGCTAAAAATTAAAATGGACCCTGCCCATAGTTGTTTACTTTTGAACAAGTGGAAGCATGCCTGTTTGCTAGGGGTTTGCAGGCTCTTCCAACTGTCTCTGCTTTTGGTTTTAAAGGAATGGGCCATATGTTTGGAAGCTGGTGTGAAGTTCCAATAGAGGGCAGCAGAGTGTTATTTCTCTTTCCTATTTAATTTGATCTAATTAATTTTATAATGAATGTTTTTAGAATGTTGGACTATTTTGTTTGTTGTTAGCTGCCCTGAGCCCAGCGGGATATAAATAAAATTTATTATTATTATTATTATTATTATTATTATTATTATTATTATTATTGTTGTCTACTGTATCGGGATCTACTGGTGAGGTTTGGGTAGATGGTCGATGTCTGGCTCTCTTTCCTTAGTGCAGCTAAGAAACTCATTCCTGCCAGGGCCCTACGCCATGCCCTCCATTGCTGTATGATCTCTGGAAGGGAAGACGGAGCTTTTTCTGTGTTTTGATCTGTAGCGATCTTTTTGTAAGTGACTTTACCCCTTTGTCCCTTGCCTTTAACCCTCCCCCCCCAAAATGAAACTTTCCCCCACAAAAAGCTTTTACTGGGCTTTTCTCCTCCCTAAAAAAAGCTGAACAACTTTGAGCTAAACCTCCAAAAAATGGGAATAGATGACTGCCAGTTTTTAATTCTGAAAGTAGATCAGTCTCTTGACAGCGGGCCACCCCTGCTGTAGAGCAATGTTTCCCAACCTTTTTCCGATCGGGGCCCCTGCAGAATGGTTAATAAAAACCCCTTGTGTATATTTTATAAATAACAAATTGGGGGCACATATCCTTTTAGGTGGCCAGATATGGTTCACTGTTTTTAACTGTGTTAAAAGGGAAAGATTTGGAAATCTTTATCCTTGCAAATAGAAATCCCGCTCTCAACCTGGTATTAATGGAACTCTTGGAACTGGAATCCTGAGAGTGAGTGACATAAAGCATATACAAAAAAGATCAAAGTCTGGCACCTTAAAGACCTAAGAAATGTATTGAGGCAGAAGCATTTGTGGAGTCAATACTACTTTATCAGATGCATTAGTGAATTCTTAGTTGATGGGCATATAAAGGAGACAATGGTAAAGTGAAGTTGAATGGCAAGGAGATGCAAACATAAAATTGGTGATAATTAGAGCTTAAATATATGTTAAGTAGGCACACATTTGAACCTCTTACAGTAGCAGCTTGCTGAGGTAATTGTATTAGCACCTATAGTGTGGCAAGGAACCATTGAAACAGACATGGATAGCATAGATAACCAGAGATTTGGTAAGGTAATTTAACACAGGTAGTGTGATTTAACACAGGTAGAAATGGAGGCAGTGACAGATTTTACCTTCTTGGGCTCCATGATCACTTCAGATGGTGACAGTAGTCACGAAATTAAAAGACGCCTGCTTCTTGGGAGAAAAGTGAAGGCAAACCTAGACAGCATCTTAAAAAGCAGAGACATCACCTTGCCAACAAAAATCTGTATAGTTAAAGCTATGGTTTTCACAGTAGTAATGTATGGAAATGAGAGCTGGACCATAAAGAATTGATGCTTTTCAGTTATGGTGCTGGAGAAAACTCTTGAGAGTCCCATGGACTGCAAGAATATCAAACCTATCCATTCTTAAGGAAATCAGCCCTGAGTGCTCACAGGAAGGACAGATCCTGAAGCTAAGGCTCCAATACTTTGGCCACCTCATGAGAAGAGAAGACTCCCTGGAAAAGACCCTGGTGTTGGGAAAGATGGAGGGCACAAGGAGAAGGGGATGGCAGAGGACGAGATGGTTGGACAGTGTTCTTGAAGCTACGAACATGAGTTTGACCAAACTGCAGGAGGCAGTGGAAGACGGGAGTGCCTGTTGTGCTCTGGTCCGTGGGGTCACGAAGAGTCGGACATGACTAAACGACTAAACAACAACAACAACAAAGGTTTAAACCATAGAGTGATTTTTTTGAAAAAACAAAACACCTTTGCCTTGGTTTAACCCAGGGGTCTGCAACCTTTAAGACAAAAAGAGCCACTTGGACCTGTTTCCAAAGAAAAAACAACTGGGAGCCGCAAAACCATTGCGACATTTAAAACAAATATATCTCCGGAGCCGCGATTTGACAGCGGGCGGGAAGGTGACGTCGGGATGGTGCGTGACTAATGCACGCACCGCCCCTATGCGACATCACAGCCAGTACAGCGCCCGCCACAGTGAGGAGTGTCGGGGCGCACAATGCGCCTCATCCCCTCGCTAGTATCTGCCCCAGAGCCGTGGCAAAGATGTAAAAGAGCCACATGCGGCTCCGGAGCTGCGGATTGCAGACCCCTGGTTTAACCCATGGGTGATGGCATTGGACTTCCTGATGAACTGTTTCATGTTCACTGTTTCATGCTGTTCACCTGTTTCATGTTGTAGTCTTCCTCTGAAGCTCCTTTACTCCTAGGAGTTTGACTCTTGTATTTTGCCTCTGGAAATATGTGCAAATGATTTCTTTGCATAAATGTAATGGCAGAGGGGGTGCCTTTCTGGAGTGTTTTCATTGCTACAGCAACATAGCTCAGAACAGCAACTGTGGAGACCTGGTACTCTATCAGACTCCTTTTCAAGCTGATGCACATAAATTTATATCCACCACCTCCTTCTTCTCCTATATTTTGTTCCTTAACTTTCTACCTCTGTTGAAAACAGAAGGCTAGATTTTAAATACTTCCACAGAGATCTAAGATTCACAGGAACACAATTTAATGAGTAGAAGCCTCTTTCCCATTGTTTAAGAAAGGTGTGGTATGTTTGTTTTTTAAACTTGTACATTTTTATTTGAACTTCAGTTACATTTTTTATATGTTTTCTATTAATTGTTTACAGAAAATGGAAAATCTTACTAAAGTTGGGTGAGGAAGAAACAAGGTTTTGATTTGTTTGTAGGCAAAGACTGACTTTGTTGAAGTTTGAAAGATTATCATGTGGCTGTTGGATTTTTAATAGTTGGGAAAGTGTGAGAGAGTGAGGCTTGTGAAGTACAAAAGGGTAGAGCCCAGAATGGCTATTGCTGGAGAATAAAAATGTAGCCTTGTGACCTTTTCTTGTATCCTGGTTTTCGAAACACAAGCATTGGGTTACAAAACACTCTATGGGAATTATTTACAGAAGGCACAAGAACCTGGAACAGCAGCAGCTGAGGTTCATGTGCAAACATCCGGGTTATGACGACATGGAGGGTGTGCTTCTCCTTCAGCACTTCTGATTAGTCACTAACTTCAGCAGGAATGTCCTGGAACGAGCTTATCATAGCATGTGAACACATCAGCAGAATAACATGTTTATTTCCTTTCAAGAGTTTCAGCATCCCCTCTGCTCATATGCAGCATTGTGTTTTATGCAGCTCTGCATAGAAGCACAGCACATTGCAACACAGTTTCTGTGAAGCCATTTCCCTAGAAAATGGTAGAGATCCAATGTGTTTATGTGCCATAAATCACTTACGACTTTGAAGTGGTGCACTGTTTCTGTTTGTAGCACGTTCCCTACTATAATCCGCTATAGAAAACAACAGCGTCTGTCCTTGCTTA